CCCTGCTGGGAGAAGCCCACGCCCATCCTCACCTCCGGGGGCAGCTCTCCGTCCAGGCAGCATCAGCCTTTCCAAGAGCATTTATTGAGCTCCTGCTGTGTGCCAGGCATGTTGCCAGACTGTCTGACTCAGACAGACGAGACGTGGGCCCTGCCCCAGAACATCGAGAACTAACACTATCTTTCACTACTGATCAGATCACCCAGCCCAGCTGGGGAAATACTTTCTTACCTCTTCCAGGCTGGTTCCAGAGTGTTCTGAAGTCACATTATCACCCCCCACCCACCGCCACTGCCGTGTTATGGGTTGAACTGTGTCCCCTCACCCAAATTATGTTGGAAGTCCCAACCCCTGGGACCAATCAATGACTGTGAACTTACAGAGCCTTTGCCAATGTCATCAAGTCCAATGAGGCCATTAGGGTGGGTCCTAGCGCAGAATGACTGGTATCCTTGGAAGAAGAAGAAAAGGCCCACAAGGGAGGACAGCCATGTGAAGAGGGGAACAGAGCTATAGGCCTCAGTGGCCACAAGCAGGGAAAGTCTGGGGCTGCCAGACTCACACCCATGCCTCATGACCCATGCTGGCCCCTTCCGTTCTCTCCCATCTGTTTCCCTTTGCAGGTCCGACTCCTTCAGGACAGTCCTACCTGCCCCCAGGCCGCAGTGTTCAGAGCAGCAGGACCCTCTCTCCATGATCAGGGCCCGGGGCTGGGATTTGAGCAGCCAGAATAGCAGTCACGCTCCTCAAACATGGTCAACCGAGGGCTCATGTGGCACCTTCCAGCCCTTTCTAGGAACTTGGGTCCTGTTTTTGACCCATGTCAGTGTCGCCAGTTTACACAGCCTGACCCTCAGTGGGTTCCTAGGCATCAATGATTGGGGCTTTTGAATTGAACCCAGCAGGTCTCTCTCCTGTGACTTGGAGAGGAGTAGGCAGCAACCCTCTCCCCAATAGCCCACATGCCTCTGAAGCCCCCTCCACAGCTCTGCCCCAGACCCAGGCTGCACAGCCTAATTATAAGAAACTGGCCGTGCAGGGGCTCCTGGGGGGACTCAGTTGGTTGTGTCTGACTCTTGATTTCGGCTCAGGTCAGGATCTCAGGGGTCCTGGGATCGAGCCCTGAGTCAGGCTCAATGCTCAGCGGGGAGTCTGCTTGGGGATTCTCTCTCCTTCTCCCTCTGCCCCTCCCCCAGCTCACACATGCTCGCTCTCTCTTTTTCTCTCCCTTTCTCGCAAATAAAGAAATAAATCTTAAAAAAAAAGAGGGGTGCCTGGGTGGCTCAGTTGGTTGGACATCTGCCTTCAGCTCAGGTCATGGCCCCAGGGTCCTGGGATTGAGCCTAGGGTCAGGCTTCCTGCTCACTGGGGTGTCTGCTTCTCCCTCTCCCTTTGCCCCTCCCCCCTGCTTGGGCTCTCACTCTCTCTCTCAAATGAATAGATTAAAATCTTTAAAAAAAATAAAGGTGATGTGTCAGTTTTCCGTATTTATGGAAAAAAAAAGAAACTGGCCACATACACCATCATCAGCCTTTTCCTCCCCTTGGCAGGTAACCAGTAAGCTTTTCAGCCAAACACTCTGAAGAAAACCCTGAGCCAATGAAGAGTTCATAGTGTGGCACCCACTTGGCAGTCCCAATAACTCACGCCTTGTTTATTCTCACCAATGCTCACTCTTATCATACAGCATGTGTTTCAAACACTCTGCAAATGTCATCTGTCCAGAAAGAGAAAGCGGTTGTTTTTTCCTTACCGTGCAGGGGATGGAGCTCCCTTACAGATTGTTAACATTATGTTGAAAGGAGAAGACAGGTAACTCAGACGCCAAACGTGGAGCATGTACATGACTGGCCTTGGGATTCCCCTGTCGCAGGGAAGGGGGTGGGAGACAGCAGAGATATGTGGTGGTATTGGTGTTATCAGATGGAAAAAGAGGCTAGGGGTTGTGGTTTATGTTGTTCAGCAAGCCCACTGTTTCTATCTAGGTTGCACGTTCATCTGAGGGCTTGGGAGGGGCTGGTGGTGGTTATATTGAAGCCGAGTCCCCGCCACCCCGTAAGTCCTCCCCCCCTCCATGGTACCAATTCTGTGGTTCCTGGTGGCCCTGTGTCTTCATGTGTGCCGCAGAGGTGGGAGCCCTTAGCTGCCCCTCCCTGGTCACTCCATAGAGCTGTCCAGAGTGCTGAAGTGCAGCCCACTGCGGGATACGCAGGCCCCGTCCTCAAGGCACGTAAGGCTGCAGACTTTCACTTGCTCAGAGCTAGGGGTGGGCTTTGCTTTGGCTTTTATCCAAGCAGTGCATCGAGGAGTAGCTTCCTCCACAGAAAAAGTAGGGACAGTGGGCCCCTGGCAAGGGGGAGAGCATGTTACATTTCCTTCATTAAGTTTCTGTCTTTATTCCAAAATGGCATATGGGATAGGGTCAATCTTTGCCAAATGAGCTATAATAAGTTTAAAGGCCGAGAACGTACAGCTTGTGGCAAATTCAGGCTCCACCTAAGGTCTGTTGTTGGGTTTTCCACAAGACAATTTTTTCTTTTCAAAGGGGGCAGTTGCACCCAGGTTGGCTTTATTGGGTAAACGTGGCCAAGAGGTCAGAGATGCCCTGAGCCCCAGGCTCTGTCCAGCAGGAATGTTCTCTCCAGCCTTCAAGTGGGCCAACCTGGAAAACCCACTGAGGCGCAGCATCCTTCTGTCCAGTCTGCACAGATGGGACAGGCCCCACAGCCCACCACCCTCCAGGCTGTGAGGACAGTGCTAGCAGGAGGTCACAGCTGTAGGGCCTGACATCTCCCTAAGCACATCCTCACCCAGCTCCACCGGCTGGCAGGGTGCCTTTTGTGAGTGGCTCCTCAGTCCCACTCTTGGCCAAATCTGGCATGACTCATTTGTTCCAGAAAAGGAATATAAATAAGCACCACCGTACCTTGACAAGTTGACAGGATTGACAAGCAGAGTAAATTCCTGTATCTGAGACTCTGAGGAGGAGAGGTGATTTAGCAGAGCCAGCTGCCATCACCAGAAGAAAATAATTAAGGAAACCCAGCAGCGTGGAGGGAAAACTGAGTGTGTAGCGGGTCCCTTCTGCTGAAGGGATCTGTGATGACTGGCTGCAGGAGGAAACCCTCACATACCAGAAAGAAATGGGTTCAAGAAGCTCATGCAGGGATGAGGCAGAGCTGGGGAGGGGTGGCCCGCAGGAAGGAAGGAAGCTCTGGGCTGGGAGGGGGGACCCTGGTGAGGGGCTCCATTCTAAGAGACTCCTGTCTCAGGCCAAGTACCCATTGCCTGCACCCCATACCCTGAGGGGGACAGCCGGTTCTACATGGAGCTTCCCCTCAGTCTTCGTGGAAGAGTCTGGAAGCCTTGTTTCAGAGTTCCTCCATATGTACACACATATTGCCTGTAAGCTTGGGAATGCCCAGGAAGTTATGGACACTCTGTCCTCTGCCTCGAGAAAGGCACACCCCTGTTCCCAGCCCAAAGGGATCCAAGAAAAATATTGCAACAGAAGAAAGAGGCAACATGCCCAAGTTCCACCTTTGCTTCGCTTTTGGAAGTCGAAGAAGTTCCCAGGAGGCTCAGGGAACTTTAGGCTTTCCAACCCAGGGCTGACCTCGCGTCCCCACCTCTTCACTAGCTGGTGAGTGAAGGAGATGTATAGGCGCATCCTCAGACTGACCAGTATGAGGCCAGGGTCACAGCAACAGCTGAACCTGTAAAACTGGACCTCATGGAGAAATTGCCAGGGCCCCCTGGGTCAGGGAGTGGATGTCCTCTCACCAACTGTGTTCCAGGCACTGGACCTATGCCAAGTACACAGAGACAGCAGGGGACAGGCTGGGCCACCAGAACATCTCACATACACAGCCCAGGAACAGCCAGAACTTGGTCAGGTGTGCCCCGTCCTGCCAACTGGAAGTTTAAGCCTTCTCTTCTTTAAAGGGTAGCTGGTGCTGATTGTGACAGTGGCTTTCAACAAAGCCTCAGAGTAGAAGCAGCCACTTACAGGTACCAGAGCAGGAAGAGCCCCTGGTGCCTCAGTGGCCAGGCAGGGATGGGGGAAGGAGGTCAAAACTCCTAAATAGCTTCCCCCAAAGGAAATCGTCTTGTTTTACTACGACCTCCCCCAAGACCAACCAGAGTATGAAGCAGAATCCTCCCATCCGGCCGAAGGTTCACTTCCCAGAGCTTGTTATCCTGGGTGACTTCGGCCCCAGCCTAGCTAAAGGGCCTCCTTGCGGGGAAGAGGGAACATCGTGGAGTGTGGTCAGCAATGCACTGATCTGTCTCCGCCTCCCTCCAAGTGACAAGCGCTTGCCGGACAGTCACTCTGTGCCTGGGCTCTGCTTAGCCCTTTGCAGGAGACCAGGGTGAACAGGAGGTGGCCAGCTCATGCCAGAGTCCCAGGGCCAGCTGAGTTGGCCAAAATCTCAAAAGTAGGTGCTTAGGTTAGGGGACTTCCCAGAGCAAGTAGGGAGACCCCAGTCCAAGGGAAGGAGTGTGTTCCACTCCCAGGCCTGTGCATGCAAAGGTGTGGGTGTGAGTGTGTCGTATTCTGAGTAACAGAAAGTCCACATCGCTTAGAGCAAGGGCTGAGCCAACGGGGCATAGAGAGAGGAAGGACAGAGCTTTCCGAGGATCCTGTCCCCATGACTTAATGACAGTGAGGTTGCACGGGGGTGAGGGGCGGTGCTGTGGGGTTCCTGGCTGTTCAATGGAGCAGGTGGCCACCTTTCGAGATCTTCCTGGTCATATCAGGAGATGAGACACTGAGATGCCATCATCCGCTCAGAAGCAGTGGGACCACATCTTGCTGCACTCCCATTTTCCATATGGGTAGGAGGGTGGAGGGGCACTCACACTGAGCCGTGCCTCCCTGAACTGAGCCCAACCCAAGTGCCCTCCAGCCCGGGGGCCCAACCGTCAAGAGCCCATGAGCAGGTCCTCAGGAGCCACGTGGTTCTTCTGCCACTAATACTGTCCTCTCTGCTTTTCAGGAATAAAGTTCAGCATCAGGCCACAGCAGCCCTACAACGTGAGTTCTGAGAGTCAGATAAATCTCAGCACCGGCCGCCTGGGGAGAGTTGGGGAGGGCAAGGAAGAAACTGGAGCTGATGTCGAATCCATTCTTGGAAAGAAAAACATGCCCAGTCCTTCCCAGGACCCTTGGGAACAAAGCCCAGGGCTTTGGACCCATGAATGTCCCCTTCCTGTTAGCTGGCGGCTTTGGACTTGTGCTAATAGAGGCGGTAAATCTGAGCCAGTCTCCTCAGGCCACCAGCTCCCTGCCCGGTCCCCGCGCCACGCGGAGTTTCCTGGGAGGCCTGCGCCATCTCGTGGCTCAAAAGACCCTTGCACCTCTGGCCTCAAGACCATGGCCGGCGAGGGGTGGGGGCCTTCAGGGACTGGACCTGGGCTCAGGCCAGAGGGGTCCCATCCCACAGGGTCAGCTGGACTCCTTCTCCCTCACCCGGAAAAAAATCTCAGGCCACAGAGGGGGCAGGGACCCCGGCCATAGTGAGGGCCTGACCTGTGTGACCCTCAGTGCCCCGCTGATAACTGTTCTGTCCCCCCTGATAACCATTTCTCTTCTTGCCCCAGGACCTCCCACCAGGCAGTTCCCAGGATGGTGACTTAAAAGCACCTACGGAGAAGGTCCCTGGAGACTTGTCCAGCCAGGCCCCGAGAGGCTCCCGCCTGCTGGTGCCCGACAGGCCTCAAGCCCAGCTAAACGTGGGGTCCCGGCTCCGGCCCCGACAGCGCCGCCGGCGGCTGCTTATTAAGAAAATGCCAGCTGCGGCCGCCATCCCGGCCAACGGCTCCGCCGGCTCTGCCGGCGCCTTGGCGCGGCCCGCACCCTGGGCCCCCAACGGCCACTGGGTCACCCTGCACCACAGCCAGCAGGAGCGCAAGCGGGTGATGCGGGAGGCGTGTGCCAAGTACCGGGCTAGCAGCAGCCGCAGGGCGGTCACCCCCCGCCACGTGTCCCGCATCTTCGTGGAGGACCGCCACCGCGTGCTATACTGCGAGGTGCCCAAGGCGGGCTGCTCCAACTGGAAGCGGGTGCTCATGGTGCTGGCGGGGCTGGCCTCATCCACCGCCGACATCCAGCACAACACGGTGCACTACGGCAGCGCCCTGAAGCGGCTGGACACCTTCGACCGCCAGGGCATCCTTCACCGCCTCAGCACCTACACCAAGATGCTCTTCGTCCGCGAGCCCTTTGAGAGGCTGGTCTCCGCTTTCCGCGACAAGTTCGAGCATCCCAATAGCTACTACCACCCCGTGTTCGGCAAGGCCATCCTGGCCCGGTACCGGGCCAACGCCTCCCGGGAGGCCCTGCGGACGGGCTCTGGCGTGCGCTTCCCCGAGTTCGTGCAGTACCTGCTGGATGTGCACCGGCCCGTGGGCATGGACATCCACTGGGACCACGTCAGCCGGCTCTGCAGCCCCTGCCTCATCGACTATGACTTCGTGGGCAAGTTCGAGAGCATGGAGGACGATGCCAACTTCTTCCTGAGCCTCATCCGGGCGCCACGGAACCTGACCTTCCCCCAGTTCAAAGACCGGCACTCGCAGGAGGCGCGGACCACGGCGCAGATCGCCCACCAGTACTTCACCCAGCTCTCGGCCCTGCAGCGGCAGCGCACCTACGACTTCTACTACATGGACTACCTGATGTTCAACTACTCCAAGCCCTTTGCGGACCTATATTGACAGGGGGCGGGGGGGGGGGGACAGCTGGCCACGGGCAGCCCAGCCCCACGCGCCCGCACCTGTCCGCAGGGGCTCTGGGGACAGGAGGAGCCGTGACTGCTCGGTGCCGCTGGCCCTACGTGGGGGACAGAGGCCCGGGCCTTGGATGGGGGCCTCTGGCCCTTGTCCCATCCGCACTTCCTCACTCCTCAGCTGAGGAAGATGCCGGGGGTTGAGCAGGACCCCAGGAGTCCCAGCTGCAGACACCCAGCTCAGCTAAGAGTCAGGATGACCAGGGAATTCTGAGGCCCAGAAGACGAGGGCCCCAGCGGTGAGGGACTTCCTGCGGTCCCTGCGCCATTGCCTTGTACCAAACCACATGGTTTGCAGCTTTTCTATGACCCAGGGGGAGAGGTTCCCTCGGAAGGAGGTTCCAAATAAAGCACATGGTTTCCAGAGTAGCAGTGTCTACCCTTTGTGTTGGAATGGGAACACATGGCCCCTTCCCTGTGCTGTGGGGGCTCTTTCTCCCTCCCCAGGATGGCCTAGCCAGGCCTCTGCAGGTCTGGCTGCAGGAAGGGGCGGGGGAGCGGCCTATGTGGCAGGGGGAGTGGAGGACCCGGAGGCTGCAGCACCCCTGGCTCAGCCTCCTGGGGCCAGCACTCAGTCACCTGGGGCCTCTGGTCTCAGTACTGGCCCATTTATCCCGAAAGGAGAAGCTCAACCTGTCCCTGTGGAGGCCCAATGGGGTCCCTTCCTGTTAGTCACTTTGCCAGGGGCCCTCTGAGCACCCGCTAGAGCTCCTTGGGCAAGCTGCCATGTGGGGATCCATGGGGCACAGCACAGGGTTCTCAGTGGGTGTGGCATTTCCAGGTGGGGAGTAATGCTCTCCCTCTCTCTCAGCATGGCTTTCTCTCGAAGCTGTCATCAGCAGACCCCCACCCCTGGCCTTGAGCCCTGGCTCCATTCACCTGACGAGACCACCTTAAAGCTTTCAGGACTGCCCACCCTTGGGGGAGGAGGAAGAGAAGCCCATAGGGGGAACCTCTCCAACAGTGTACCTTTTCCCATGCAGTAATGGCTCTGAAATTGTCCAAAGTCAGGGTGGTTCTGTGAAAGGTCCCAGAGACAGTGTGTTGGAGCTTTGAGTGTGGCTGAGGCAGTCAGTATGTCGGGTCTCGTTTGTAATGGAAAGTGCTGCCTGTTTCTAAAGGTCTGTCTGTCTGCCTTCTTTCAGACCTCCTCTCTCCACCAGCCTGTGTCTGCTGCATGCCCTTCTGTATCTTTCTGTGGGCCCCTCTGCAGATCTCCCCAGGAGATTGCTCTCAGTCTGTCCCCACGTGTTGGGGGAGGTGCTGCTGGGCCCTAGGCAGAGACCCTGCTGGTCCCAGGGTGGCCATGCTGCTGGCTCCCAGCCAGCCTCATGCTGGCGTGTGTGCCGCTCCATCGCCCTTTCTGCCTCTGCCATGGGCTCCGGAAACGTATGAAGGTGGGACAATGAACGGAGGCCACTTCCCACCTGCTTGGGGTCACGGGTGTCCAGGAACCGCGAGCAGGGTGAGGGCCCCCCCTTCCCTGGGTTCCAGCTGGAGTGGCCTGGACGTCTGGCAGGAGGGAGCTCCGAGGGACGGGAAGGAGGCTGTGGTCAGGGCCCGAGGGGCTCTTGGGCGTGGATGCTCCGAGGCCAGGTCCGTGTGAGAGGAGGCAGGGAGGGCCCCGGCCCAGGAACGGGTGCGCCTGGGCTGCAGTGCTCGCAGAGTGAGAGGGAAGCCTCCATGCACAACTAGTGTCTCTGGGCAGGGATGCATCTGGGGAAGCCTGAGGCTGGGTGTCACCATGTCATCCCATCAGCCAGGGGGACACCTGGAAGCCCAGCTTAGGCAGCCTGTGGGGCCCCTTCACCCACTGCTGCTGCTTGGAGACAATTTGGATTGCCATGGGACCACCCTCCCACCGCATGCGTGCATGTGTGTGTGTGCGTGTGTACATGTGGGTGTGCATGTGCCTGGGTGTGTGCATGTGAGTATGCGCGAGCATGGATGTACATGTGTGTGCGTGTGTGCATGTGCGTGTGTGTGCACATGTGCGTGTGTGTGAGTGCATGTGTGTCTGTGTGCGTGTGCACATGTGAGTGCGTGTGTGCCTGTGTGTGTGTGTGTGTGTGAGTGGTAGGTGTCTGTCTGCTGGGTGTCGGTGTCTGGGGTGAAGGTGGTACGTACCGTGCTTGAGCATGTGTATGTGTCGGGGTGGGGGAGGGTACCACGGACAGTCCTTCCTCTCTGGAACCTCTTGTGCTGCTCCGTCCCCGACCCATCTCTGCCCCTTTTCATCTGCTCACCATTTTGTGGGTATAGTCTAGAGCGCCCCAGGCTCTTCCCAGGGGTCAAGCACGCCCGTGAAGTTGGGGAAATAACTCCAATCCCCAGTGCCCTTCCCCAGCTGCGTCCTCCAAATGGGGGCCTCTCTGGGGCAGCCCACAGTGAAGTCCCTGCCAGGCCTTCTCGTCCCCAAAATCTGGGGTTTCCACTGGGGCCTATGAACCCCAGAAGCCCTGGAGTGCCCGGGGGAGCCGAGATGTCAAGTCCAGCCTGGTGGTCTCTGGCCTCAGACACATGGCCAAACCCTCCTTCTTCCTTGTCCCGCTGACCACACACACAGGGGCCCAGGACAGATGTGGTCAGGCCCTAGACCGAGAGACAGGCTTCCAGCACCCACTTCCCCTCCCAGGCAGGGCCCATTTGCCAACTTCATCCTCCAGGTTGAGCCCGTTGGTGGGGTTGGGAGTCCCAGGAGGACCCCGAGGCCAGGAGGTGGTCTGCTCTCACTCCCCCCATCTCCTCCTGGGCCTTTCCTCTCTGGGGAACACCCATGGCTGATCAAGGGGATTGCCTCCTGGTATCTCCCCACCACCCCACCCAGAGCTGGGCACTGGGGGCTCAGGAAGACTTCGGGCCCCAGGATGGAGCAGGTGGTCTCCAGGAGCTGGGGGCAGGTAGTCTGGGGCTGAATAGGGCCCATCTCTGGGGACCGATGCTGATGATACAATGATGCTGCATGAAGAATAAACAGGTACCCTGGGGTAGCCTGAGAGGAGCCTCACCTGGAAGGGGAGAGGATACAGTGTTAGCCCGGGCTGCTCCTGCCGCAGGGCTGGGGGGTTGAAGGAAGAGGCAGGGGGAGGGGAGGAGAGCATGGGAGAGCCCTGAGCTCTGATCCATCCTGTCGGCCTGGCCTGGCTTGGAGGTGAGGCTGGTGCTGTACCCTGACTTCATGCTGCTCAGAAGGGTAGTCTCAGCTATGAGGTGGCAGCAGACAGTATCCAGGAGTCTGGGAACGGATGCTCCTGGCCCCTCCCTCGCCTCTGCGCCTGCCTCCTGAAGGGAAGGGGGAGAGAGTAGGCGGTAGGGCTGCTTCCCAAAGCACATGAAACCTAGGGCAAGTGGCAAGGGTCAGGGGTCAGAGGTCAGAAGTGAGTAGTTCCAAACCGTGGGGCCTAGGGTCTGCCAGCCTGAATCAAGCGCCATGGTGGGCCACGCTGTGCTGGCCTCCCCGGTAAATGCCTGATAGACCCCTCCCAGCAGCGCTGACCGTGTGCCTCGCCCTACAGGTGAGGAGACTGAAGCACAGAGCTGCACAGCGACAGCTCCTGGAGCTGGGATCGCCCCCCCCCGGGCAGTGGGGCTGGGACCCCTCTCTATGTGCCGTCTCCGCCCCGCCCCCTCCACATCTGTGTGGCGCTGGGCGGGCGCTGGGCGGGCGCTGGGCGGGCGCTGGGCGGGCACTGGGCGAGCACTGGGAGGGCCTGGAGGACGCTGGGCGGGCACCGGGCGAGCGTTGGGTGGGCCTGGAGGGCGCTGGGCGGGCCCTGGGGGGCCTAGAGGGCGCCGGGCGGGCGCCGGCCCGGCGCTGGGCGGGCGCGTGTCTCCGCTGGCAAGGGCGGCACTCGGCCACTAGGGGGCGCCAAGTCCTCGCTCTTGAGCAGGGCCCGGGCTTTCCCCAGCCGGCCCACGAGGTGGCAGTAAAACTCCGAGTGTGCAGCTGCAGGCGGGGCGGCGAATTCCCCCAGCCCCACGGGAGACCAGGTCCCCAGCCTGGCCCCCAGAGTCAGCCGGTCTTCTGCCCTTTCTCCCTCCGTGGAGTCATGGGGGTCCTGCCTCTCCAGATATCTCTAGGCAGACCCAAAAGTCATTCCCAATATGCCAGCTCCAAAGGACCCACCTGCCCTAACCCCAAGCAGGAAAACAGGCCGAGTCCCCACCCCCAGGCCACCCCACTCCCCCGCCTCCTCACGTGGGCCTAATGGGGCAGGAAAGTCCCAGGATTGTCGCCAAAGTGCGGACACAGGGAGGACACAGAGCGTGGGAGGGCCCCGTGTCCACCACCCCTGCTGGTTCCACTCCTGGTTTTGGCGGCAGGCTTAGATTTGCGGGAGGATCCTGACTTGCCTGCCGACCTTGAACACTGCTCTGTCTCATTGTCCTGGCAAACCCCAAGCCAGCCAAGCCCCCATCCCCCACTGCAGGAGGAAATGATCACAAACTTCACAGGGCCATTAACTACCTGCTGTGTCTGTCCCCCGTTCCCCATGAGGGTGACCTCAGGCCTTCTATGACCTCAACACACATGTACATGACACACTTATGCAGACGTGCTCCCCCACACAGACCCACACAGACCCAGCCTCACGAATACACACCCAGACACAGACACAGATGCAAACACACACACAGATACACACATGTGCTTGTGCACGCACACCTGCAGGCAAACACAGACCCGGATGCACAGGGACACAGACACACATCCACACACAGGCAGACACACACAGCTAATGGAGTGCCTCTCCCTGTGGCGAGGTCGACAGGAAGGAGCAGAAAGGCTCTTGCTGTCTTCCATCATATTTATTTCTGCTCCTTCTTTTTTAAGATTTTATTTATTTATTTGAGAGAGAGAGCCAAGCAGGGGGAGCAGCAGAGGGAGAGGGAGAAGCAGACTCCCCACTGAGCAGGGAGCCCGACAGG